CATCCTCTCCTCTTCCTTTATGGGTAATTGAAGACTTGGGCTATCTACTAAAAATGGCTGGGACTTACACTCTTCCCCCCATCCCCTTATAATTCAGGGAAGTGGTTTCTCCTCTACTTCTTTGATTTCAGATTTCTGTCCCTACCACACATTTCTCCTAAGTTCAATGAACATCGTGTTGACTGAGTCTTTCCTGTCATCTTTGCTTTTTTTCCAGGGAGTTTTTCCCAGTTTGTCCTGAATCAACCAGCCTCTGTGTCTGGATCTCTTGGAGAGACAGTCCGACTCACTTGTGAAAAAAGCAGTGGAACGATTGGATCACAGTATTCCTCCTGGTATCAACAGAAACCTGGCAGTGCCCCGAAACTCATGATATACTATGATAGCAGCAGACCCTCTGGAATCCCAGCACGATTCTCTGGTTCTGTTGAAAGCTCCAGAACATCTGCCGTGTTAACCATCAACCTGATTGAGGAAGGAGATGAGGCTGTTTATTATTGTGCCTCTTATACAGACAGTGGCTCGTACACAGTGCTACAATTTCACTGAAGAGCTGAACAAAAACCTTTCAGGAGGCGATCACCGATATGCATGACTGGGCAATGTGTGACATCTTCTTCTTGGTTCCGCTTAACCTTCTCAAACTGTAAGATGCTTCCTTCTTGGTGCCATATCTACTTAGATTCTCAGAGATGTGATGGTGTCTGAACTGGAGGTTATTATTATTGGTCTGGGACTTCATGGTGGGGGAAATGAAGGGGATCAGTTGAATGATGGATTATGAATCATTGAACATAAAGAGTCACCCAGAACACTTCTGATAATCGTCGTTTGGAGACAACAATCATATTGTTGATCTTTATCCCACATTCTAGCTACAACCGGGCCATGTTTCCTCCTGATCTTCTCTGCCTACTGCAATGCTGTTGGACAACCTTTCTAGCATCAACCCTTCTGATCTGGAACACTCACGTTTTGGTTCTTCTTGACCAATTCTGATAAGGGAAGCTTCTTTGGAGTCCCTCACTCTTCCCTTTCACATCTAACTTTTCTCTCCCCTTTGAAATTATACCTCCTTGGCTGAAGCTTTTCTTTTCTCTTTGCTTTCTTTCAGCTAGTCCTTCATCATCAGCTAGTCCTTCATCATCCCCCTTCCCTTTCAGCGTCCTACAGAGAAACAGTCAGGATTTGTTGTATGAAAATGAGTGGAAACACTGGAGATTAATACAACTCCTGGGATCAACAGTGCCATCATCAGATACATGAGCAAAATAAGAGAGAGCCTTTGAAGCCACAACTCAGTTCTCTGGCCCTCTCCGTAGTTCTTCCAATTCTGTCTCCTTGAGCATCGTCAAGCACTCTCAGATTGCCTACAACAGGAATCTCCTTTGTTGATGTTTGTTTGTCAAAACTTTGGAATTTTTTTTAACTCTATGGTTTTCTAGATCATAACTATGTTCCCCTTCCTATTCTCTTTTCTGATCCACCCCCTTTTGAGGCATAAAAATAAATGTCAACATGATGTAGGTCCCTCTGCTTCTTTATTTTGACAAAGAGAATCTTGGCATCTGCTTTGCCCAACACCTATTAGACACTTTGAGGCTATGGTGACATAACCAGTAGAGGTCAGGATTGCCGTGTTCTCTAAACTAAGTCTGAAATTTTAGTCCACAAAGTTCTACCCTAAAGATGCTTGTTATTTATGTTGTCAGTAGCAATGAGAAAACACGCGTTATTTCCCTTCTCAAAGATTACAAGTGGCAGAAACAAGGTAAAAATCAAAATGTAATAGAATGCATGGGAAAGAGTATGAATGTTATTCAATTAAAAGAAATAAGTAAATGTTTAAATAAGTTTGGGGACACTATATATTCCTGAATTGGATCACACAAATCTGGGGAATATTTTTTATGCTGATATATTCTGTTTTCTACTATATCTTGATTTTCTCTGTTCTCACGTTAATTTTACTTTGTGAAGTAAGCTGAATGAGGATCACGGCTGAAGACAACTCAGTGATCTTAATGGCGGAGTTGGGATTTCATCCTAGGATTCTGCACTTGTCTACTATAAACTCTTATTTGACCAGCTCACCTATTCAGCTCTAAGCTCACAAATATCATCTGTCCATCGAAATGGTGCAGGTTACACATTTAGTGAACTGGGCAACCTATTTGGTAAAGACAGGCCTCAGCATCCTTTTAAAAACCGTCTCATTTGCATGCTAATTGTATTCCTCACCTCTAGGGATTTAAGAGAGGCCAGGTTGAAGCCAATGACTGATTGATTCATTCAGGAAGATTATCTAATTGTCCAGTATGGCTTGTATTCTTCTGCTCTTCACCATCCTATCTTCCTCTGGTGAGACCAAGAGAATCAGGGGATAGAATCCTTTTGAGGGTCTCCATGTGGACTGCAGTGCAGGCGAATGTTGGGCGTGGTTTGGCTGTATAACGTAGTTTCACTTGATGTTCCTTAATTCCATGTTCTCTCTTATTCCCTTAATTCCATGTGCTTCTTTCAGGGGCCAGTATCCAGCAGCTGCAGAGCTTGAAAGATCCAGATTTTGTAGCTCCAGGAGGGACAATCACCATGTCCTGTAGATACGATGGTGGAACCATCACTGACAACAACTACCCACAATGGATCCAGCAGAAGTCAGAGCAGACTCCAAGGCCCTTAATACACAGCACCAGCAGCAGGCCATCAGGCGTTCCAGCCCGTTTCTCTAGCTCCAGGTCAGGGAACACCATGTCCCTGACCATCACAGGGGCCTTGGTGGAAGACGAGGCCACTTATTACTGTTTAGTTTGGATCGTGGACCGGTGCACAGTGCTTGATTCGGATAGAGAAGTGAGACAAAAGCTCTTCAAAGGAAGTGAAACTCTTTCATGGGTTTGGTTTCCCTTCCAATAAAGAAGAGCTTCAGCCCATCAAGAAATGACATGATTGAATCTTCCCTTCTGTTTCTTAAACAGGAACATCTCTTTCTACACTCAACATCAAGTACTCAAGTGGGTCTTAGAGACAAGGACAAAATGCCAGACCTGGTTCATCCTGGTAAACCTGAAGTTAAACATGTGACTCAATAAAGTCTTTAGCCCAGGTTGATTGGTGTCCTTTTGTCAATTCAGATATTCTGTATATATCTAGAACTGGGATTCATCTGGGGAGAAATATTTCATTTGGTCTAATATTGATGAATGCCCTTTTATTCCCTCCCTTTGCTTCCCTGTCTTCACCCCCACTGAAATCCTACCTCAATTCAAGCTAGCAGAGGCATCTGATGAAGTGGGCTTCAGCTCATAAATGTTTTGGCCTTTTAATATTATATGTTACAATAATAATATAATTTAATATTACATTATGTGTTCTATATGGTAGAAAGGGTTACCATAGACCCGATTTTGGAGAAAGACTCTAGGAAGTGCCACAGATCGAGTTTCCTTTTTATATTATGGTGGGACATCAGCTCCAATCTTAGTAGTCCATGTGGCCTCTGAACTGGATTTGTGTCTACCCTTGGAGATTCCCTCTCCAAGCACAACAACTTTTCAGGAAAACATGAACGTGTGACCTAACATATATGGTTATCATTCCTAACATCCCTGCAATAGGTCATAATTTCCCAGAAAAGCTGAGAGGGATCTGTCTCAGATTGAAGAAGGAAGGATGAAGGAGATAAAACGAGGACAATTCTCATGCATGCTTTCTACGCTGCAGTTGAGCTGAAGACCTTCCCAAATGTTCCCGCTCAGCCAAACAGGATGGTCTCCTCAAACAGCTGCATCAGCAAATCATGATACTCAAAGATAATAACAGAATAAGAAGGGACCTTGGAGGTCTTCTAGTCCAACCCCTTGCTCGGGCAGGAAGGAACTTTCAAGGGAAGGTCTTTCTTTTTATCATAACTGAGGAAGAGTCAATGAGCAGGCAAATCATTTGCATGAATTTGAATTCCCCACTGTCCAAAGGCTTAAGAGTGGAGAGGACAGCTGGATCTGCAGACAATTCAGATCTGACCCCATCTCTAACCATGGCTCGGCTGCCTCTTCTTCTCCTCCTCTCCTTCTCCTTTACGGGTAATTTATGTCAAGGGATTTCTACTCAAAAATTGCAATGATTGTAGCCTTCCTCAACCTCCTGATAATTCAGAGGTCCATCTCCTAATTGCCTTTCCTACCACACTTTTCTCCTGATTTAAATGAAGATTGTGCTGATCGAGTCTTTCTTTCATCTTTGTTTTCTTTCAGGGACTTTTCCCCAAGTCATGACTCAATCAGAATTTGTGTCTGGATCTCTTGGAGAGACAATCCAAATTATTTGTACTATAAGCAGTGGAACAATTGACACAGGGGATTCCTCCTGGTATCAACAGAAGTCTGGAAACGCTCCCAAACTGATCATATACGAGGATAGCAATACAGCCTCTGGAATCCCAGAACAATTCTCCGGTTCACTTGAAAACTCAAAAAAATCTGCAGTGTTAAGCATCTCCAATCTTGAGGAAGAGGATGAAGCTGATTATTATTGCGCATATTATGTAGGTGCTGGCAAGCACACGATGACACAATCCCACTGAAGAGCTGAACAAAAACCTTGCAGGAGGTGATGTCTGATATGCATGATTGGCAAATGTGTGTCATATTGTTCTTGGTTCCTCTTAGCCTTCCCAAACTGTCAGGTGTTTCCTCACTCCTGTCACTCCGTTTTAGACTCGGGGGTGTGTGATGGTATTTGAGTTGCAGAAGGATGCTGCAATTGGACTGGGATATTACGGTGGGTGGATGGAATGGGACCAGTTGACTTATGACTGCACGATTTAGCACAGATTCACTCAGAACGCTTCGCATAGTGCTTCATTTTGGAGACAACAGCCATATTGTACATCTTTATCCCGCTTTCCAACTTTGGACTGCTTACATCTCCTCTTGTTCTTATCAACCTTCTGATCTGGACATCCACTTTTTGGTTCTTATTGATCATTTCTGTTCAGGGAAGCTTCTTCTGAGTCCATCACTCTTCCCTTTCAGATCTAACTTTTCTCTCCCCTTTGAAATTACACCTCCTTGGTGGAAACTGTTCTTTGCTCTTTGCTTTCTTTCAGGATTTTGGTTGTCTTGAATCAGCCACCTTCTCATTCAGCAAACTTTGGAGAAACAGTGAGAATTCTTTGTTCCAAAAGGAGGAGAAAAAATTGAGACTGATACCACACCTTAGATCTATATACAAGCAAACTGAGAGACCCTCAGCCAATTTCTCTGGCTTTGTCAACAGTTCTTCCAATTTTGTCTCCTGGAGATCTCTAATCACTCACATTGCTTACAAGAGACCCTCTTCCTTTGCTGGTTTTGTTTCTCTCCACCTTTAGATATTTTTTAATTCCATATTTTTCTAGATCATAACTATGCTCCCCTTCTCATTCCTCCTGCTCATCCACCATCTTTAGATTCATGAAAAAGTGGGTGTAAGCATGCCATTTTGTTTGATCTCAGTCACCCCCCCTTCCCTTTCAGCGTCCTACAGAGAAACAGTCAGGATTTGTTGTATGAAAATGAGTGGAAACACTGGAGATTAATACAA